GCTAAATAGTGTACGGGGTGCATGAATGCTACAGATGATGGACATCATGCAGCAACAATGCTTGATTTGAGGTTCAAACTTAGTCTACATATTTCCATATATTTCATTCGTATGAGCCCAAAACATGGGTAGTAAAGAAGATAACCTGAAACAAAAAGTAATCATTCTATTGATGGAATGGAGGCCTGCTCATAAATCATGATTCTGTTATATAGATTTGTTTAGAGCTGTTCAAAATATATGGATTTAGGTAGGGATGGAAGAAAAGAGGGAATAAAGACTGAAAAATGTAAAATTGATATTGATTTGATATGAAGGATGTGTGAGAGAAAACAAAAGAATAATCCTTATTGTTCTAAATAGTTGTCTTAGGTGTAAGATACTTGTACCATTCCGATATATATATATATATATATATATATATATATATATATATATATATATATATATATATATAACTATGTCAGTTAGTCCCACATCATGTAAAGAGGGCCTAAGCCCATGTATCTTATAATTATTAATATAACCCTTGTGTGGCCACACTAGACACACAATTCCTAACCTTCAAATCTGTACCTGAGCTTACGTTCTAGGAAACCCTGCTTTCGTAAAACATTAATTCCTGTTATAAAACATTATTTCCTTGTCAAGCGTCTTGGTGACAAGTCATCACTGTCAAGTATCTTGTTGACAAGTCGTCATTGTCAACACATCCTTCTAGCATATCTCTATCAGCCTGTGACTCGTTCCACCAGCATCAATGATCGTCCAATCACATGCTGCTGTCATCTGCCAGCGACTTTTCTGGCAACCATGCGATGGAATTCCTTTCTCGCCAGCGATCACGTATGTCTAGGACCCACCGGCATTCATCCAATCACACGCTCCCAAGCATAGCTTCAAGTTTTTGAATCAATGCCTTTGCACACAAGCGTGATAACGTGTCCAAGCGTCGTTTCTTCCTAGCAACCACACGATCAAAATTGCCTCCCTTCGACGGCCAACTATCTCCAAGTTGCTTCTTGATTAAAGTCTCCATGCCCCACCAGCGTTGGATGGCCAATTTTCCTTCCATCAATACGTGAGCCGCCATTTGGTGGCCTTTCTCGACCAATCCACAACAAACTTCTCGATTTTCCCTTTCTACTCAAATCTGGGCTCAGTTTTCCGTGGGTCTAAGTCGTTTGAAATTTTGTGGCAAACCATCATTGTTTGGCCACTGTTCATGGCTATTCCTGATTGACTTGTTGCTTTTTGATCGCTTTTGAGTGTTATGCAGGTTTCAACACTTTTCCTTTTATTTTAGACTTTAGGAACTTTTCAGCATTCTTCTTATCATCGTGTAAGTCCCAATAAGCGACCACAATCTTGTCTCACGCAATAATGACCATAGTCATGGTGACAACATACCTTTATATTCTTTATGTCATAACTTGGGACATTTGACGGAATACTATAGGGCAAAATATGGCAAGCTTACCTTTATTGATCTTACTCACAAGGAGCTAGCATCTTCTACCTTTATTATGATCATTCCAAATGCAACTAATGAGGCCTTTCTTCAACTTAAGGCCCCTTCACGAACTAGAAATCCTATTACTTGCATCTCTCAATCATCTCTTGGATCATGAATAGTTGACTATGGTGCTTCCAATCATCTGTGTGGTAATAAGGATCTACTTGCATCTTTTACCTATTAAGACAATTTTACTTCAGTTACCCTTGTTGATGATTCCAAGTTTGTTGTTTGCGGCATTGGACAAGCACAATCGCTTCCCTCTTTACCTTTGACCTTGGAATTTTATGTCCTTGGTTGCACCTTTAATTTAATACATGTTAGTCAACTCATTTGTTCTCTTCATTGTTTCGTTATCTATAATGCAAAATCTATTCTTGTGCATAGGATTCGGGTACAGGAAGGACGATTGGAATTGTACTAAGTCACACAACCTTTATCATTTTGTTATGCTTACCCTCCCAGTGGCATGTAGTATGATAGATTATCTTGACCTTATTCACAATCATCTTAGGCATCCAAGTCTATTCAAACTTCAAAAGATGGTTCCTCATTTGTCTCGTTTACAATATTTGGATTGTGAGTTTTGTCAACAAGGAAAACATGTATGTACTTCCTTTGCTAATCGTGACAGCTAACAACTAAAGGGCAGAGACTCCTTTCTCTCTTGTTCATTAAGATATTTGGGATCTAAGTCGAGTCAAGTCCAGTTTGGGATTCATATATTTTGTGATTTTTATTGATGATTACTATTGTTTTACCTAAATTTTCTTGATGAAGAATCGTTTTGAACTATTCTCCATTTATCAAAAAATTTGTGTTTACGCTCGTACCCAATTTGGAACCACTATTTGTGTTTTGCGTAGTAACAATGTGCGAGAATATCCTCTGTTGACAGGTGTCTCTGGTTCTATGACTGCCCTTCCACACAGGTGTTCGATCACTCATCAGCAACACCCACAACTGCCCATTGTGCTAGCCCTATCTTAAAAGATGCTTCTTATGACTTATTGCCTTCATAAGTCGTTCCCTCTACCCTAGCTCTTGCATCAGATAGTCTTCCCACTGCTCTCCGTAAAAGAATCCGCTCTCGCAATTTTTATCCTCTTTATGCCTTTTTTGAGTTATGATCAACTTTATTCACCGCATTTTACCTTTGTTACGATGCTTTCTTTTGTTTTCATTCCTAAGACCACAAGTGAAGCACTTTCACATTCGGGTTGGTGCCAAGCAATGATTTATGAAATGATTGCTCTGCATATAAAATGGCACATGGGATCTTTTTTCTGCTCCAAGAAAGTCGGTTGTTGGATGTCACTTGGTGTTTACTATAAACAATGTTAATTGCCTCAAAGCCACTTAGTGGCCAAGGGATATACTCAAATTTTCGGACTTGGTTATGGAGTTACCTTCTCTCCTGTAGTCAAGATGACCTTAGTCCGCCTGTTTGTTTCCCTTGATGTCGTTCGTCATTATCCCCTTTTCCAACTTGATATTAGAAATGTTCTTACATGGTGACTTGCAGGAAGAAGTTTTCAATGAGCAACCACCCGGATTTGTTGCTCAGGGGGACCATGGGTTAGTGTGCAAACTCCGCAAATCCTTATATGGCATGGAGCAGTCACCTCGTGCTTGGTTTAGTTGTATTAGTTCAACTATTTAGGCTTTTGGCTTGGCTCATAGCGAAGCTGATCACTCTTTTCTATCGGCATATTTCTCCTTATCGGTGCATCTATCTCTTGGTCTATGTAGAGGATATTATTATCACTAGCAGCGATCAAGTTGGGATTGAATAGCTGAAAACAATACTTGTTTAGTCAATTTGAGACCAAAGATCTTGGCAAGCTTTGATATTTCTTAGGCATTGAGGTGGCACAATCTAGACACAACATCTCCATCTCTCAGGAAGTATTCCTTGGACATCCTGGAGGAAACTGGCATGTTGGGGTGCAAACCTATTGATACACCTATGGATCCTAATATCAAACTCCTACTTGGATAGGCCACTTAAAAATCGTGGCCTTTATCAAAGACTGGTTGGAAAGTTGAATCATCTAACCGAATATTTCTTTTATGGTTAGTATGGCTATCCAATTCCTTGACTCCTTGTGATTCCCATTCGAATACAATTGTTAGAATTCTCCGATACATCAAAGGGGCATCAGGAAAAGGTTTATTATATAAGGATAAGGGGCATGATGATGTTTGTGGCTACTCAGATGCTAATTGGGCAAACTATCCTTCAAATAGACGCTCCACCTCAGGCTATTGTGTCTGGGGGGAAATCTAATTTTTTGAAAAAGTAAGAAGCAAATTGTGGTAGCTAGATCAAGTGCCGAAGTTGAGTATCGAGCAAGGCTACTGCAACCTATGAGCTTATCTGGTTAATGCAATTTATCAAAGAAATAAGTCTTTGTGAACAACGACCAATGAAACTGATTTGTAACAATCAGACAACGTTGCACATATTGTCCAATCCGGTATTTCATGAAAGGACCAAGCATATTGATTACCATTTTATTTGAGAGAAGATTCAGTTTGAAAAGATAAAGACAACATTCTCCAACTCCATGATTAGCTTACAAATATTTTCACTAAGGCTCTTAGAGGACCCGGTGATGACTATATTTCTAACAAGTTTGGTGCCTGCAATATATATGCACCAGCTTGAACGGGAATGTTGGAATATTTAAATAGCTATGTTAGTTAGTCCCACATCATGTAAATAGGGCTCAAGCCCATGTATCTCATTATTATTAATATAACCCTTGTGTGTTCATGCGGGAGACTCGATTCCTAACCTTCAAGTCATTCTAAGATATGATCATGATGGAAATCAATTCCAAGATATTATCTAAGATATAATCATGATGTGGGATACAATACCAAATTGCCCCTCCTCCTCCCCCTCCCCCCATTCCACAAAAATTATATTTTAAAAATATGTTCTTTGGAATTATGTACCTAATAATATACATGACTGATCTTTATTGAACTTAAAATTAAATCATTTTATTTTGTACCTCAATCGTTCCAATAAAGCTCGACCTTTGATCTGTGGTCGATGTTAACAAGCATCCCGTGCATAGTTAGGGATGTAGTTCAAAAGATAAAATTGTGTAGTATGTTCTGTCTTCCTATCAACGACGGCAATGAAAATGGAGGAAGATTTCAACTAACGGCTGCGATTCCCATGTATTCCTTGTTACCAGAGGTTTTATTTAATATCAATAGACAACCTGTTGACAATAGAGTGTGGAGACACCCAGTTATAGGCTCTGGTGGCAGCTTTTTTATTGTATTATACTACGCATGGCCATATATCATCCGTTCTTCAATGCATTGGATTTTCTTGTGCAATCCTTGGCAGCTTTTTTATTGTATTATACTTTCTGCCTCTGTTAAAAACCATTATATGAATTTACACACATGAATTCATGATATGGAACTTTTTACAATTTGTAATGCCGGCTTGCCATTCCAGGACCACCAGGGAAGAAGTGGAGAGCATTTGGGAGACTCCCATGCCGCAGTAGCTGAAACATGCATGAAGGTGAATTTCATAACATTAAAACCACCAACGCATAAACACAAGCATGTTTCAGACTGTAGCATTTTATTGAAAGTATGTCATTACTACAATAGCTTTTGTCTCACTGAATTTGCTTCTTGCAGGCTTTAGATATTTGTGCTCAGCAAGTTGATGAAGAAAGTGTGAAAGTTGAACGGGATAATGTGAATGATTTGGCTGGAGAGACGGATCTGAAGTGTTAAGCGAGATAGGTTTTAACTGATTGGTGAATTGCTAATTGAATGATCCATTCGTGCTGTCGCGTTTCAGAAATAATTGAGTGGCTGCTGCTTGGTTCCATTGTTGTCATCATTGTATACATGCAGTAGCATCTTCCTGATGAAGTGCAAGTTGGCAAGTTTAATTCTTTTAATTACATGACAACTGGTTTCTTTACCTGATATTTTGATATTACTTCTTGTTGGAGAATAGTTATTAGGTTATTACGTGCTATTGGACAGGGTTTATTTTTCCTGCGCTGATCTTCATTTCTCAGTGTATATACAGACAGACATGGAGAGAGAGAGAGAGAGAGAGACACGAACTCAGTTTGATTTCTATTTTGAAAAACAACTTTTTAGTGTTTTAGAACAAAACAATAAAAAAGCTTGTTTGATAAGTGTTTTGTGAAAATGACTCTCAAACAATATTTGATTTAAAAAAAAATTAAAATTAGATATCAGCTTAGAAATATTCTAAAAAATTATTTTTTGATTTTATTGTTTTTGTAATGACAGTAATTATTTGATTCATTAATGTTATTTTTGTAAATCAATTTAATTTTTTCATTTTAAATTGTTTTGTGGTGATAATGTTGTAATTATGTAGGTTTATTAAATAAATTTAATTTACTTTCAATTTTAGATTCAATTATATTTTAAAAAAAATTCTTATATTTTTAGAAATCAGTTTTCAAGATTGATATTACAAAAGAGTTTTGAAGAAAAAGAAAAAGAAAATCAGATTCAAACAGACGCTAACATATTGTGTTGTTTTATTTTCATTGATTTTACCTCTCCATTTTTGTGTTACTAATCTAGACCACTTGCTATGAGATAAATTATATTGATAATTACCTATTAACCAATTTATCCATTGATCGAATCTCGAATACCAAATACCAAAGAAAGAAAGGGGTAGTAATAAGTCATATAAAACAAGTGGATTCATGATAGATACGCTTCACACTTAGCAGTGCATTCAAGAAAAAATATTAAAACAAAATCCAAACATAAGAACACTTCAGAAAAGCAGCCCAGTCTGTTTCTGCAATTGAAACAAGTAAAGAATTAAGGGGAAATTCTTTATGTGGTGTTGTTTCTCACTAAAATTGTAATATGTATCAGTTTTTGCCACTTCATTGTCTTTTTTTAAGTTCTCATAATAAATTGTAAAAAACAATTTGGGGAAATGATTTTTCTTTTTAAAATATGTAACTTATGATTTATTATGTACTAAGAGTGTTTTAAAATCCCACCATGCCCCCCGAGTCAACCCTGACCCCTCCCCTCTGAGGGTTGGGGTCACAAGTTGGACCCTATATGCATATCGACTCCTCCGACCTTCATATCCGGTCGGGTTTCAGTGACAACCAAGGACCCCTCCCCTCTGAGGGTTGGGGTCACAAGTTGGACCCTATATGCACATCGACCCTTCCGTCCCCCCAAACCTGGCCAGGTTTCAGTGACTCCCAGGTCAGAGGGGTCAAATGGAGTCACTGCATGTTTTTTTTTTTAAAGAAAATCTCATGAAACAAACTCGTTTCATTAAAAAAAAAATGCTTGCAAACCTAAATCTAATCGTTCTCTTATCTCCCAGCGACCTAGACTTATGGTATCTTGATACTTTGGTATCATTAGAATATGAGCTTTGTACTTTGGTATCTTGATATTTTAATTAGGTTGTGTAATATTGACTTGTGGTTGTAATTGGTGAATTATGTTAAGTATATTTTGAATCTTTGATGATTGGTGATTTGTTTTTTAATATTTTCATATAGGATATATATTTCTATTTTTTTAATCAGAAAAATATTTCTGCAGTTAATGCAGATAAATTATCTGCATTTACTTCTGTTTTGGAATTGAAAGATTAGAAAATTATAATTATAAAGACTATAATAACCTTAAAATAAATTAAATGTACAAAAACACCATGATTTTCATTCCAAAACGACGTCGTATTGGGCTTACTGCAGATAACTTATCTGCAGTAACTGCAGAAAAAATGAACCCTTTTTTATTAAATAAAACCGGGTCAGCATAGTGATCCCGTGACCTCCCGGTTGAATCCGTGACCCCATGACCCCTGACCTCGGCCGGGTCGATGGTCGGGCCGGGTTTTTAACACTGGTACTAAGGGTGGTACATAGTTATAATATTAAAGTTTTATTTTTTTATTTTTATTTTTGTAAACTAAAGTTGAATTTTTTTTTCTTTCTCTTCAGGTTGATGTGAAAAGTAAAAAAAAATACAACTTTAATATTATAACTATGTACTACTGTTAGTACATAATTATGAATTGTTAAAAAGACATAAGTTACATCCTTCAAAAAGTCAAACTTTTAACCCATCATTTAATTGAAAAATAACACCACAAATGCTAAAAATTCTTCATTTAGTTTTTTTCTTCTTTTTTGGTGCAAATAGTCAGTTACGAAGCACGGACTCTTCTTTTTTCTTTAATTATGCGTGTCGGACACGTGTCCGACACGGACACGCTCCGACACATTTTTCTGACACGAAGTCAACTTTTTCGGACACGTGGTCAACGGTCGAACACGCTCGGACACGTTTTTTTTTAGTCTTAATTTTATTTTATTAACTAAAAATAAAAAAATTATTTATAAATTAATTTTTTTCTGTTATGAAATTTGACATGAAAAATTAACAAGGTATGAAAAATTATTTTTATTTATATTTATACTATGAAATTTCAATATATATGACTTATTATGGACTGTTATATCTATTAAATATAAATTATATTATATATATTAAAAATATTATTTAATATCAAAATGTGTCCCAACGTGTCGAAATATGCCATTTTTTAGAATTAACGTGTCGGCGTGTCGTGTCGTGTCCCGTGTCAATGTCCGTGTATCTCGTTTCATGGGGGATCGGCAAATTATTGGGCCGAACTGGATTTGAACCAGCGTAGACATAGTGCCAACGAATTTACATAGTAGTGAGATGCTTCCATTAGCTTGTAAACAGATTTAGTAGTGCTGAAGGTACTTGTCGATAATTTTTCATCTCTAGCTTCACTGGGAAGATAGTAAGTTCTGTCTTCTTCCTCCTCCCTTGCTATTACCCTTAGTAGGAAAAGAAATTATTTGTTCCTGCCATCTAAATTGATAACGGCATTAATCTCTCACTCTTTACCAATATGTCTAAATACATCAGTCAAGGAAGGAACTGTTAATGGCAGCCAGAGTACCGGACAAAGATTTACTAAAAGGAGATAAAGCATCAAGTGCAAATTTGATTTGAAGAAATCAAAGCAGTGCGATCAAACGAGTAAAGATAGAGAAATTATATTATCCCTTATGTCTCAGGGTATTGACTAATAAAGAAAAGGAAAAAGACTTCTCATGTTGCATGAGAAGTCTACTCTCCTACCACTCTCACTTCGATGTTCGTGTCAATCACTTTTCTATTTTTTCTTTTTTCTTTAAGGTGGACCCCATCTCTTTCTCTCTCTGTAGGAAAACTTGCATTTCTCATGCAACATGAGAAATTGCAAGCCCATAAAAAAATAGCAACAACGAAAATGTACTAGACGGGTAAGATAACCATGCCCCGGTCTAGTATCGTGCATATATTTTACTACCATTGTTTCACATTTATCTCGTGATTTTTCAATTTCTTTGAGTTATTATTTATCTGCAAGTAAGCTATTGATAACATTTTATCTTATGTGAAACCACTTTAGCGGTGTTCATTGGTGATCAAACACCATTATAAACCAATTATTTCTGTAAAGGACCGCTGTTGTTACGTGAGCCAGTCTTCTGATTTTAAAATGTATTTCACATCGTCATTAGTCTCTTTATTGCTTTTCTCCACTTCCCCCTCAGTCTCGCATATGTTTTGAATAGAATTATCAGGCCTTCATCAGAAGAATAAAACCATTAACCTCGTCGTACCAGCAAATAATTAAGCAGATACAAGAAATTTGGGGCCACTTCTTAAACATTAAAGTTTCAATTTAAAATCCATATGGACGGGACGTTTTTCAAGGATTGATGCTAAAATTGAGCACATAGCAATAAAATCCCAGGTACATAAGCAAATGAGATCCATATAATCCGGGACTTAAGGCTCCAAATGTCACGAAGCACTGACTGAGCTTCACTCAAATCATTTCTGGTTCTTAGTTTGATGATGACAATTTGAGCACTTGAAGTAAGATGTTTATTTAACGTCTGAATGACTCACATCTATTGGATATATGTCTATTCCAACCATTTAGAGATCGTGCATAATATTAATAAGTCCGTTGATGATTACATGATGTGGCATTCACGATGCCTTTTTAATATCAAAATTCAGATAAAGTGGAAACAGAATATTTTATACTGGGGAGTGGACTAAGAAATGATACTTGATAGTTGATAGCAAGCATAAGAAGAAAATAAAACCAAAGCGAGACAAAATCAGTAATATTGGCCTTATGTGCCTCAAACAAATGACAATGTAATATCTTATTAAATATGAGCCCTTAATAACAGAGATGGAGTCATTTAAACCATCTTGAAAATTCAAGGCGTTGATTCGTCCAATCAAATGTTGAGGAACATTGACACAACCAAATTTGAGGGAATAAAGTTCAATTTTACCTGAAGCCAAAAGTAACTGTACAGAATGAGCACAATCGAAAGCTAATGAGCACTTGGTGCATCTCTCATACTCAAATTGAGACTATTGCGCATAGTCCTCCTTCCGATTCCAGCATTGCCTTTCTGCATCATGGCAACAAATTCACCGTAGTCTATCCTTCCATCCTAAAACAAAGATATAAACAAAACTGTGAAGTATAATCAAACTAGAAGAGGATGCAAGAACTTAATTTAATTAAAGATCAATAAAGGGAAGTCCGGTGCTATGAAGATCCTGCTACGCACAGGGTCCAAGGATTTGATGTTTATTGAAGATTACTTAAGGCTTGATATAGATTTGATGATTTAGTTTTTTCCCCCATATATATCACATCTCTGATCACAAAAAGTTATATGGACAGATCAAGCATAGGTTATAACTGCATAGTCTAACCTTACACCCACATCTAGTCATACATATAAAAATAAAGTAAAAACAAAGGCCTGAAGACCAGGTGCAATCACAAAGTGCTTTCTAATAATAAAATTACATAGCTTTCATGAAACTATGACAATCAAATAACATAACTACAAAGTTCTTGTAACAAACAGTACAACAAATTAGAAGAACAGCATAGTTTGGAAAAAAATACAGATGTTGCCGAATGTAATATAACCACATTCAAGAATGTAATATAACAAGAATAGCATATTTTATTTTTTGGTGAATAAAAATTTAGGGGAGGAGATGCTACCCATTCCAAGGCCAGGGTATGTGTTAGGAAACCACCTGTAACTAAGGCGTACATTAGAAAGGGTTGTAGGGGATCGGGGACGCTAATGAATAACAGGGAGGGCATAATTAACGTACGTATGTAACAAACTGCAAGATTGGCAGTCATTGAAATTGGGAGGGAAAGTAAGGAAAAGTGTGTAGAAAGGAGAGGGAGAGTGCAAGGTCTCTCAAATACACCTTTTCTGTTTCAGCTCTTCATCTTCCATATTAATTTCACCATGAAGATACTGATATCACAATGATATCAGTATCCACAGGAAGAATACAGTGAATTTACCTTAATTTAGTGTGTTCTGATCCAGTCTATCAGTATTACCAGAAACCTCAATGAGGACTTATAGTGGTACTTACAGATTGCCTTATGAGCGAAGCGCTTTCATTAGTATACCTATGTACATAGTATCGCAAGGCTCTAGACAATGTAACAACTGTGTGATTTTGGCAGTAATTACTATAATAAGTTATCAAAACTATTTAAGGTCACAGTATATTGCCACGTCCTTGATTATCACAACATAGTCCTAATAAGTATACTAGTAAACAATCAACGTATCCATAATGTTATGAACATAAATTAGTGTAAAACCTTATTTATGTCGTTCAAAGATACACTCTATCAATTTAATCCCTCAAAATAAATTTTATCATTTTGATCTTTAAAACTTGAAATCCCCAATTTTTCTGTCCTCCATCCATTTGAGCATAATAGTTTTAACTTTACATGCTGATTTGTACTATCAAAAGATGATATGACAGGCCAACTCAAGAAATTGATCCTATTTTCCTTCCCACAGCCATCATCCTCCCCCCACAAGCGTCTCGAGCAAAACCCCATGCAGTAGTTCCTTGCAAAACATTCACAAGGGCATGCACTCAGAGCAGGACTTTTTCTTATCATCCTCCCCTCACAGGCATCTTGAGCAAAACCCCATGCAATCATTCCTTGCACGAGACTCACAAGGTTATGCGGTTAAAAGAATGTATCTGCTGTTATTGAGAAAAGATTGAACAATTCACAAGGGTTTCTGACACAGCTCTGGTATTGCAGATCGAATTACGAGGAAGAAAAACAGAGAAAGTAGAAATGGGAAAGGAAACAAATAAGTTTTATTGAAGAGAAAAAAGAATTACCAATCAAATAGATGTACACAAAGAGGGAGCACTCTCCTTATTCCGAGAAAACACAGCCTAATTTTCCAATCAAATAACAACCTACCCTGGGAAACGATACTCCCTTATATTTATTAAAATAATAAAACTGGATAACTAGCAATCAGCACTAAAATTCACTAAAATAGCTAATAAATATTTAAACTTATCTGAACTACTAAACAAATTCAACAGTAGACTGAACATTAGCTGACAAACATCCGTTTCCTTGGTTGACTTCACTTCTCTGGTATAAACCTTGAGTAGTTGTGGACCTCCTGAATCTTTACCCGTAGTAGTTTCCCCTTCAACAGAGTCTCTAGACCAGTTGACAAAATGAATGAAAGCTGCCTCCCCCTTCTGTCCTCTTCTTATTCATTTAACAATATTTCCCACTCAAACCCCACTCCCTTCCAACAACCATACTATCTTAATTAATTAACTAATCTAACTGTTCTAACTAACTAATATTCTCTGACCCTAGCAATACGATCCCCTAAAGTTCATCCTTGTCGGCAAGGTTGCATTCTAAAACTACACCATTTTATGAAGCATATTTATCCTTTTGAATGTCACGATTGCTGTTCATTCTATAGTTGGTAAGCTGGTCTGGTGGCATCTCAATATTCTGTGACCCTAACACATGCACTCATGGCAGACTATTTCTTTGTTTCAATGTTGTATTTTCTTTCTTACCCAGGGTCAGTGGTATTATAGAGATCGTAATAGTACAAATTTCTCAGGCAATGAAAGTATATTATTATTGTACCCCAAAGGTGGCAATATGATTGGGGAATGAAAGTTTTAGAATAATACCCAACTTTCATTGCTAGATTATTATATTCTATCAGATAAATATAATATAAAAATCAATAATATAACCTCACCTAACAACTTAAGCTTTTGGATTGAAATGATTCTTTACATGTTTTAGAGACTCCATAACCAAGTGATCACGAGTTCGATCTTCACAGCCCATATTTTATTAATAAATAATTAAATATTATGGAGTTTCTTAACATAGTTAGGCGAGGGTTGTGCATTGTCCACCCTTCAAGCTTAATGGGTTCTTGTGTAAGGGACGTGTTAGAAAAATATAATATAAAAATCATTAATATAACCTCATCTAACCGCTTAAGCTTTTGGGTTGAAATGATTTTTTACATATTCTTTTAAGGGGTAGGTTATATTTACAAACTTTTTGTTTACAAACTACACTATGTATTCTCGGGAATACATAATTGAGTTTATAAGAGTTTGTAAACAAAAAGTTTGTAAATATAACATTTTCCTTATTTTGAATTTCAGATCAGCGTAATTTGTCTACTATTTGCTGAAACCTTCCTGATCTAAATTTGCGGCACTAATAATTTATTCTGGCATGATTTGTAAGATAGCCAAGATTGCAAGAAATACTTATTTACGACAAAACATAAACTTTCCCGTGATAGACTTCTCTCCACTGCTAAAAACTATTATGGGGATTAATGATTTATAAGGATCAGGATGATGAAGGGACCAAAAAATTGGGGATTTCAAGTTCTAGGGATCAAATTGATAAAATTTACTTTTGGAGTGCTAAATTTATGAAGTGTATCTTTTAGGGACCAAAATAGAGTTTTACTTTATAAATTAATTACTTCTGGAAAGCATCTCCGATTTATGAATAATATCTCCGATTTAGGGACTCTATATTGTAAATAATTAGATTTTATTTTATTATTTTCCTTAATTTTCCAGATTCCTAGTTTTCTAATATTAGAGATTGTAGGTCAGGTATAAATATAATGTTCTGCTGAGGATTCCATCAAACAATTCACAAATCCCTCTTCTACAATTACTATCACTCTTCCATAGCCTTTATGAAGGTTTAATGAAACCATATAATTTCTACTATAATTACTGCAATTTCTCTAGGACACCCCATATGCATTTCAGAAAGAGAGATACAAGCTTCTATTAGAATGAATTAAAAAAAAAAAACTCCTCATGAAACCTCAACTTGCGACTTGTAAGGGTATGGATGAGAGAAAAATATTTGTACACAACATTACCCTTACATTTATGCAAAGAGACTTTTTGGATTCGAAACTCTGACCTTTAGTCACAAAAGAAAAAAAAAATTTATTTTTTTTTGTAAACCAAAAGAACATATTTACCACTGCTCTAAACTCGTTCTCTTAAAAAAAAATTATTAACCAAACAATTTTAGATGTAATATTTATACAAGTTCATACATTGATTAATCAAAAGTAGTTTTAAGGATCTAAATTTCAATCTATGTTAAGATGATAGAGAAAGTAGTTTTTATAATCTACAAGTTTTGAAATGAAACTCCCCAGCATATGCATGGGTTAGACGATAGTATAATGCAGAATAAGTCTTAACAGAATATCCAACATTGTAAGAAAATGTGAAATCTAAATACTTAGTCAGTCCCTAAAGGAAGATATATAAATAATACCCAGCCTACGCATTTCCTATTTGAATGTATAGCATAAGCATAGATTCAAATGACTTACATTATCTTGATCCACTTCCCTAATAATATCTTCAAGAAAAACATCAGTCATTTTATGTTCTGCACAGGCGTGTTGAAGTTCATCAACCGTAATATAACCACTCCCATCCTTGTCAAAATATCGGAATGCTGCAATAAGATGTTCCTCACGCTCTAGTTTGTTAAGATGAACTGTTGCGGCAATAAACTCCCCATAATCTATAGTTCCACTGTTGTCCACATCAGCCTGAAACAACTAGGGAATTTCAGCTAGCTAAATGGAACACAATCAACGCTCATTTAACGCGAATAAAAGCTGAAATTTAGACATTGTTAAAGAATAATATAAATCATTAACAAGGCTCTCACCCAACACCTTAAAGTTTTGGGTTGAAGTAGTTCTTTACATGGTATCAGAGCTTCAGTAACCACAAGGTCACGAGTTCGATCCTCACCGCCCCCCACTTTTGAGTGGAATTAAAAAAAAAAAAAAAAAAAACACAAGTAAAACCAAAAACATTGGGCCTGTGTAATATCCACACTTCAAGCCCAAAGGGCTCTTGTGTGAAGGGGTCATTAACAAGGCCCTCACCCAACACCTTAAGATTTTGGGTTGAAGTGGTTCTTTACAGACATAAATAATAGAGTAATGTATTTAAAGGATGATCATCTAGTCCCATGGTCTTCAGCTCTATCAGGTTTAAACATGCAACACTAATCTCCAACGTCAGGCCGTCACCCTTGCTGTCAGAAAAACAATATCCCAGCTAAGAAAGAGCCCTCATATTTATATACATTCCAAAATCTCAAACATTCTTTCTTTGGGTTTATCTATCTTGATCTTTAAAATATGAATTCAACAAGTAATGTAGAAAAATCATTCAACAGAGGGGATGACAGAGGATACAACACAAACAAAGAGCATATGTATAAGAATTGAAAATTCATAAAAATAGAAAAATAAAGAACTGAGTGGAAGTACATAAACAAAAGAAAAGAAAAACTTACCGCTTCCATAAGATTACGTATTTCTGTATCCTTAAGGGTAGACCCATATCTTCTTAAACCAGCTTTGAGTTCGTCGAAAGTGATTGCACCACTGTTATCAGTATCCATCGCCTTAAACATTTCTCTCAAACCAGCAATCTCCTCTTCAGACAGACTTTCAGCAATTACCTGAGAAAATAGGATAACATGCAGTAATAACTGTTTATCAGATTGAATGATTGATCATTAGTGACATAGTAAGTTGATCAAAGACAGCATTATACATCATTTATAGAAACTGTACAGAGGAGAAACATTTATAATAACTGCAGGAGAGGAGGAACATTTATAAAAAGAAGTTACCAACATTCAATCAAACAAAAAGCCAATAGATGACAAAGCAGTGGCAACATGGGGAGATTCATTGGCATCCAAGAAGTGCACAACAATGTGATGACTCCACAAGCTAACAACAGCCCTTCGTTTATCATGTATAAGAGTGCATTTCCTATCTTTTTCATAAGAATGTATGAGAGTACATTCATACATAAACAAAAATTCATGCAATTAGATTAACTTACCCGCAAAGCCATCTTCTTTAGCTTATTCATCGCAGAGAACTGTTTGAGACGAGAGAGAACAGCACGATCCAGTGCTCGGTCTGGGGCAACTCCATTTTCACATATCCAAGGATGACCTAATCAGGCACAACAATAAAGAACATGTGATCATTATATTAGATTAAATTATGAGCAATGATGCAGAAAAGAACATTGAAAAGTAAAACGGTAAAGTTCTCAACATTTGCATAATTTAATCCATCCCTCTGTTTTATAAAATAGACCAAAAAAATTAAGCTTATAACATTGAAGTTTGTTTTTAAAGGAAATAACAATTTTTTATCCATTTATTAGTCTAGAAAGGAGAATCTTCCTAGGCGAGTCTGCCGTGGACGAGGCAATAACAATGAGATTTTGATCACTTTTTGCATCACTGACCAATCCAAGGTCTAGTTGGAAAGTTTCAATAACAAAGGGTAATGTCAATTTCTAATGCTCATCTTCTCTACTACCCCTGCTCTGTAAAGAAATCAATGTATCTACATCCAATATGCAATTATAGTGCCAATTCAAAAAGAAAAAATCATCTATCTTATTCATATCAGGACAGCACTTGTTTTGTAGTGAGATGGGATCAGCAAGAAAATTATAGAGGGATGAACATACATAACACTTCATGAGCAGTCAACCGTTCTGAAGGCCAAGAACATAGCATCTTTCTAATCAGATCTTTTGCACTCTCAGATATTAGCGGCCATGGATCTGATTCAAAATCTATATGTCCCTTCAATACTGCATCAAATATACCCTGCTGGGTTTCTGAATTCCAAAAGGGTGAAACTTTCAGTGATGTCACAGGGGAAAGAGAGGAGACCAAAGAGTATCAGCCATGACATATACCTGCCCAAAATGGTGGCACACCACTAAGCAATATGTACAGTATGACCCCCGCTGTCCATACATCTGCTTCAGGCCCATAATGCTTGAGGAGAACCTCAGGAGCTACATAGTACGGGCTGCCAACCACATCAGTGAAAACTTGCCCTGTGGCAGTAATATTGAATGAAACATTGAACAAACTCTCATTAAAACATGGCATGGCGTCCTCTAATAGCAATGACGTATCCTCAACAAGAATACCATAAAGTTCAAGAAAAGTGTTATAAAATTGAAATTTAAAAGACAGGAGCACCAACTTCAGAATTGGGATTTGCAAATTCAGAAGCATAAAATGAAGATAACAAGCATGCATTATGGAATATAACTGTGCCGAAGATACAAAATATGCAATAAAATAAACAAAAAAAAAAATGTAATTTTGTTCTTAAGAGGTAAGCAGAAGCACAAGGGGAATAATTATGGAGAAAAAAGATGTACGATGTAAGGGTGCGCTGTTGTGAAAGTGATGGTTACTAGTTAGTTCTTGTGCTGACCATGATACTAAGAGAAAGCAATTTGTTACCTGGTTTGAAGAAAACAGAAAGGCCAAAGTCAATTGCTTTAAGAGAGAAATCATAATCTTTATTGACCAACAAAAAGTTTTCGGGTTTGAGATCTCTATGCATAACCCCAAGGGAATGGCATGCCTCAACAACACCAACAATAATTTTGGTCAATTCTGCAGCCTTCCTCTCGGTGTAGTGGCCCCTCTGGATGATGCGATCAAACAACTCACCTCCAGAACAAAGTTCCATGACAATATGGACATAGAGTGGATCCTCATAAGCACCCTTGATGGTGACGATGTTCTTGTAACCTGCTAAATGGTGCATTATCTGAATTTCCCTCCGAACGTCCTCTACATCCTCATTGGAAATCAACTTCCTCTTGGAGATGGATTTGCATGCATATTCAATGGAGGTGGAATTGTCGGTGCATAAATAAGTGGTGCCAAATTGTCCCTGTCCTAATATGCGGCCAAGAGTGTATAGATCACCAATGTTGGGAGTCTTATGACCCAATACATAATATGCTTGGTTATCGACGCCTCGGCGCATGACGGCGTCTTTTTTCAAGGGTTATAGTTGTTAACGTTTTCGGTACAATTTGGATTTTCTTTTAGCTGCTTGCTGGTCTGAGTTGGAGCGATCAACGGTAGAAGGAGTGTTTGTGTTGCGCTTGGAATGTTCTTCGGCTGGCTGTAGGCTGTAGGCTGTAGCCCTCAATATATTTTCCTTTCAAAGATCCACGGCATATGTTATGTTGCCCATGAAACAAAATAATCCACGGCATGTGTTGCGCAATAGTAATAATCATAATATCAAACAACTAAATTTTCATTTATATCACCTAATATAATTTATTTTACTTTTTCAGCAAGAGGGAAAGAGAAGTAGAAAAATACCAGAAGGTGAGAATGAAAGAGGATGGATGAACTCAAATCTCGACCACTCACACTTCGTTTCCTTTCAAATCATGATTCTTTCTCACAACTCATGCAACTCTGCCAAAAAGTTTACATTTTCTCTTGCACTTGTTAATTTTACGATGGTTGCTACCGAGAAACATCGGAGATAATATGAGTGCGCCAGCTACCCTATATCTCTATTGTGTTTTACTAAATTTTTTGTCTCTCTGTTTTTTTTTTTTTTTTTTTTTTTAACAAGCCCCTGCAATCAGTAGGTAAATACAAATGAACAGGCAGAAAATCAAATGGACATGAAAATATCTTTTCTTTATTATGCGGGAATTCGTGAATTACGGAGTTCGTCCAAGTCATAAATCGAATTTGAAAATACTGTGTTTGTTTTTCTGTTTATTATATGTGAATTGGTTAAATTCGAACAAAGGGGCCAATGCAAGCTCTGCTCGTCCAATTCCGGCGGTTGTCAACCTTCTCCCAGTATACCAATTTATAAATAAAAAATTCTTTTTGGCTATTTTTCTGTTTTCTTTTGGCTATATGTGAATTGGTTAAATTCGAACAGAGACCAACGCAAGCCCCTCGACTCAGGTGGTTGCTTCCAATGGACCGGTTCTATTTTAACTATTCACATATTCCAGAAAAAAAAAAATTGTAAAAAAAATTTAAATCAATGTTTTATGAAGCCGCTCATAATCTAATTGCTTCCACAATAAGCTGTAGGACAATAGTTTGACCAATCATTTAATCTTATCAATCCTTCAAAACAAATATGAGAATAAACTGCAGTACATCATGAACCCGCATTTGTTTATGCTCTAAATGTTTCAACGTCATGATCCAATTTTTATTTTCACTTCAAAAGTAAAACTTTGGAGAATCAATCAAAGTTATCAACCAAAACCTTTGAGGGTACAAAAAAATAAAACCACAAAAAGTTAGTACTTTTTTATCCCAAATAAATATTATAGCTCGAGTTGCAAATATATATGTTTTACCATTTATTTAGTATTGTCAAATAAAGAGCTTCAATTAATGAACTCCTTCTTCTTAAATATTGAGTGTGACCAGGCTCGTGATGAGACCCCGTTTACTCACAAACTCCGAATGAAAGCATTATACACCATTAAAAAAATGCTCAGTTGATACAAATGAAATTTTTGTCTGAACTGAAATTGAAACTGCACCATTAAAAGTTGATACACCCTATGTAGCATCGATACGACACGCGACACGTGACACGACACGACACGACACTCCGACACGTCAATCTTAAAAAATTATGGATTTCGACACGTTGGGACACGTTTTAATATTAAATAATATTTTTAATTTATATGGTGTATATTTCATTTAATATTTAATAATTTAACAAAAAAATAAAACTAAATTAATAATACCCATCAACACGTTATAAAGATGGAAGCTTTAATAAAAAAAAATAAGAACTGGGATGAGAGAGAGATATAATATCAGATAGAGAGATCAAATCATATTAGAGAGAGATCAGAGAGAAGAAGATACAACAAGAGCGTGATAGGAATTGACAACAATGATGCTGAGATGATCTCTTATCTACTTAAGGGGAAAAAAGACAAAAGATAAAATTGATATGATCAGGTGGAAGCTTTATTAATATATTTTAACTTTAAAAAATAATTAAAAATTAAAAAAAAATACGAAAATGCCATTTGACCGTGTCGGACACGGTCAAATTCGCGTGTCGGAATGGTCAAAGTGTCGAAAAAAGTCAACCGCGTGTCCGACACCATGTCGGAGCGTGTCGCCGTGTCGGAGCGTGTCGGACCCGACTCTTCCTGTTTTTACAAGTGTCCGTGCTTCCTTGGATACACCATTAAAAATTGAAATTGAAACTGCATTAAAAAGCATTAACAAATTTTGTCAAATAAAGAAACTGAAATTGAAACTACACAAGCATTATACACCATTAAAAATTGATACACCAGTAAAAATTGAAACTGAAATCCACCACCCAAAAGAAAAAATTGAAGAAACCTCTTCTAGGCAGAACTGAAAAAAATTTGTTTTTTGATTTTTTGTTTTTTTTTTTTCAGATTTTTTGTTTTTTTCAGAATTCAGATTTTTGCTTCAATTAACCTCTTCCATTCGGATCTCCGACGAGTCTATCCCTAGTTTATTCACACACGCACAGAAGAAAAATCCGAAAACAAAAAACTGCACAAAAAATCTCTGAGTTACCTTTGTGAGAAGTGGTTAGGTTTTGGTTTATCAGAGGCGGTGATGACGCAGATTTAGGTGCAGCACCAGAGTCCCGTGTCGGCTCCTCAAAACAGCGTCGCTCCTGCTCCGAACGCGAACCAGTTCCTGACGACATCGTTGTACGTCGGCGATCTTGATCAGAACGTGAACGAGTCGCAGTTCTACGATTTGTTCGACCAGAATGCTCAAGATGCGGCAAGAGCACTGGATATGCTAAATTTCACTCCACTAAACAACAAACCTATTAGGATCATGTATTGAATCGAGAGGAAAGGAGGAAAAAAATGAGTGAGAGAGTGTAGGTGAGAGAGACTGATGTGCCTCTGGCAGATGTGGTTTTTCAAGTTGAAATTGATAAGAATTGAGTCATTAAAGAGCAATTTAAATACATATTTGCTAATTATATTGATTCTTTTTATGTCAAACTATTTCTCACCTATTGTTGTGTTTATATAGGTAAAAGAAGAAAAAAATATGGAAATTATGGAAGCCTTATGATCTACACCACTCTGCTAGAATTTCAATGATGCATAAAAATCGTGAGCCAAATGGCACAGAATTGGCGCATACTAGCGCCAAAATGGCGCAAAGCGGCGCCGGAATTTCACGCACGAGGCAGTGGCACGGCACCTAGTCGCGCCAAAATAGCGCCAACTAGAGCCAAACTCATGGCCAAACCATGGCGCCTAGTGGCGCCCAAGATGAAAGGAAGAATGGCGCCAAGTGGAGCCCAAAAAGTAGAAGGATGGCGCCAATTGGCGCCAGTTTACGTATAACTGGTTCCGACTTTTCAATTCTAACAGAAGCGTGGCGCGAAGTGGCGCCACATCGGCGCCAACTGGCGCCGGTTTGCGGGAAGGAGTACCGTGTTTTCTCAAGGGTATTTTTGGAAGAAAAAAGCGAGATTATAAATAGGATCCTTATGACAGAATTAGGGATCCAGACCTATTCTATTGAAGTGAGACGACGGTGGAGCTCCGAGAGGATTCTGAAGAGCAAGTTCTTCTTCTTCATCTTCTCTTTTACTTTATGTTTTTATGAATATTGGATTTTTAGCATGATTATGCTTGGCTAGTTTACTTTTTATTGTAGTTAGGGTCACAAACCCTATGTGAACCCTTGTTACGACGGATTGGTTTATTTTACTCGTTTATATAAATTGTCTTTATCTCTATCTTGTGCGTATTTATATTATCTTTATTAGAATTGATCAATCTGATAGTTGAGGATAGTTTGAGGGTTAGAACCCTATATAGGAATATTGGGGTTTTCATCTTGAAAGGGGGTAGGATAACAGTTCGTATGCATGCTAGGAATAGATGTGTATTGAATTGCATATGCTTGAATTATCGTGTTCATTGCTTAATTCTCATGAGGGGTTACTAAGGGATTAGGATTCCAATTAAGATTAAAGGGTTAAATTGCCAAGGGATTGGAATTTAACTAATTAATTCTAGAAGATAATTATCTAAGTATTTATATAAATAAGTATTTTTTAAATCAATCCAAAGTAAAAAGTGGGGATCATAAGGTGAGTGCACTCTAGCTACAATGTTTTTCTCACATTTACAAAAATCAATTTTCAGTTTATTGTTCTATTTCTTATAAACAAAATTACAAAAACAAGTCTTTATTTTAGTTCTCACTTTTACACAAATCGACAATATTTGTCACAAACCTTTTGAACTCTTCCATTCTTAAAAGGAACAATTAATTGATATACGATCACAATCCCTGTGGAGACGATACTCTACTTACTTTCTATATTACTTGTGCGATCGGTATACTTGCCGGAGAGCATCAAAGACTGAGCTAATGGAGAGAAAGTAAAGAGAGAAAAAAATCTAAAATTAAAATTTCTGTGTCCGCACGTGCGGTCATTTGACCCCACGTGGGTCCGCCACTGCACATATTAATGTGATACCCAACCAACAATAACAAACCCACGAGAACCTTGTTCACATAGACCACCAAGTTACTCGTCTGATTATGTGCATGGCCAGAGGCGGACGTAAGTCAAAGAGAAGGGGGGCACGTACCCCCCTTTAAATTTTAATGTGAAAATACTAAAATACCCCTCAATTAAAATTCAAATTTCCTCCTATTTTATTTTTCGCTTTTTCTCCTCCATACGTGACCAGACCTGGCCATCTTCATTAACTAAATTCAAACTTAAGTATGATACAGCAGAAGCAGTCATCGCCTCATCGGAGACGGAGAGGAGAGAGCTGTATACGATTTTCTTCTCCACCCTTCAATTTTGTTCTCTTATTGTATTTTCATTCCTATCTGTGTAAGTGTAATGGGTTGGATCTTATTTTATTTGGCTTTTTTGTGATTCTTTCAAAGGTGCAGCACATAAAAGATGAAGGTGGCAGGGGGTCAAGCATATGGGAAATCTTCACTTCACCCATAACCACCCAGACCCAGGTTTATTTATTTATTTATTTTATTTTTTTGGTACATACAGGTTTATTTATTTTATCTCTTTCTTTTCACATTCTGTGTAAGTTTTTTAGCTCATCAGTCACCTTCCTTTCTGCGTCCGCCTCTGGTCTGGTACCGTCCATCTTTTCTTTTCTTTTTTAGTAATAGGTACCGTCCATCTTTGAGTGTCGATTTTTTTTTTATATAAAGCTAGATTTACTATAATACTAAATTTGTATTTTGCTTGCATTATTGAGTGTCAGTTTCTTTTTTTATTGATTTATTATAATACTTTACTAGATTTACTATAATTTAGATTGTGCTAAAAAAATATGTAGGTTTCTTTATGCATATTGAGTGTCAGTTTCTTTTTTTTATTGATTTATTTTTGTCATTTGTCTTTTTTATGATGGAAAGATATGTGGGTTCTTTTTTTACAAAGTCAAGTAGTGGTAGTACTAAACGTGCTCGATCTGAATTTGCATCTATTGATTTATTTCAAGATAAACAAAATGAGTGTGCTACTCCCTCAAGTCAGAACAAACCAACAGTAGAAGGTCCACCGGATTTGTATGTTCCTGATCCGGGTAAAAGACTTCCTATTATGAGATTTGCGAAGAGTGCTCAAGAAAGAGAAATGATTCGAAGAATTTATCTAACGAATGGTCCTTGTCAACCAAAACTTGACAACTCTCCTCAAT